CCTAAATGAAAAAGCTTTTTTTTTCACACAGTATCTCATTGCTACAAGAAAACCCCTTTTTTTTATTCTGAAATAACAAACCACCTGTTCTGAGAAAGCCAGGAAAAACATTTAAGGCCATTTATTGATGCCTTCAGTGTTTACCCATTAAAAAAATATTAAAATGTGTATTTGTTGAATATTTATCATACATTTTCACACTAAAGTATAATTAAAGTATAAAATGATTTATCATTAGATTCATTACAAAAACAATCCCAAATCCCTGAAGTCAAAGAATATTCCTGCCAGGATTTTATCTGTTCTCATGTTTAGCCACTAGAGGGCGTCTTCTTTGAAACCTTCAGGCGAACATTTATATCTGGTGGCAAACCTCGTTTGATCAGTTCTTTTTTGATCTGGAAAAGACAAGAAAAAAATTATCTAGCAATGCAAGATATTTTTCTAATTTTTCCAGTCTGTCGAAAACACTAAACTAGTGCAAGACAGTTAAAAGCATAATATAATCCTTATAATCTGAGATTTTTACTCACTGCTTCTGTGACACTGTCACAATTGTCTTCCAGAGCCATGGTTGTTGAGATCTTCATTTTCAGAACAGTAACATGAGCTGGAAGCACCAGAGATCAACATGACCGTAGAGCAACACATAAAAATAACAGCAGTTTATTTTCAGCTCTTTTAATTCATTTCAATGGTTTATTTATCGTACTCACATGTTGGTGGTGGTTCTGTAAAGAGAACATAAGAAAAATTAATTGCAGAAAAATATCCTTTCAAGAATTTAAATATGTTTTTAACAATTAACAAGAAAGAATTACACTCACTGATTCCAACAGTCACAATAACACATCGAAACTCAGACTGGTACACAGAACTGGAGACACTGTGGGGATAATTAGCAGAGGAACTTTAATATTAATCTGGAGATAAAGATGTTTAATGCTGTCTAACTCCATCAATGGAGGGACGGCTTCTACCTGGAGAGGTCAGCAGTCCACAAAGGTAAAAACAACAAGATAACAAAACACTAGATTCTCCAATTAACCCGACAACATGAGCATTGAAAACATGGAAAGTCTTTGCTGGGATGTAAACCAAGGATTCTTCTATCTGTGAGGAAACATTACTAACCACTGTAAGATTATATTAAAGCATTTCTGCAATGGTTGCATCTTTATATTTGAAGAATGCTGCCTGATTAAGCAATTTACATGGAATAACCTAATTAATATTTTAAAGAGAAATACTAGAAAATACGTCAGTTTGACCTTTTCATGACAGATATTCAGACAGTTTTGTTTGCATTTTAAAACACTGTGACCATCAGATCAGATACAGACGTTGCCTGAACAACAAAACAGATGGGGTGGCTCTCTTTATTATCGTCTTCAGATGGAGTCCATCTCATGGTGAAATATCCTGAACCAGATGAATTCTTGACCACACCGCCCGGCCCGCTGAACAGGAGCTCAGTGGTCCTTCAACAAACAGGAAACACATAAAGTCTGTTTGGTGATAATGGAAAAAAATCCTGAAACCACAAATCATTTCCTGTGAACCACCAGAAATATTACTGCTGGAAAACCTGTAATGTATATAAAAAAAAGTTTAAATTACATATTATTTTACATTTACCTCCCCAAAAAAACTGAATAAATGTTTTAGTTTTATATTAAAGAGACCTTTGATGTCTATATTCTATCTTGCTTGTTTAGGTTGAATTTATTTAGTTTTTAACAGAAAGGAATTCATTCCAGAGTCAACCATCTCCTTCTCTTCCTGTTAGACGGTATATTTAGTTATTACTTACAAAGCCTGAGTTGCTTCTGCTTTGATGGTGATTTCCAGAGTCTGATGAACATCAATGAAGAACTGAGCTCCATGTTCTGGAGTTGGAGGCATGAATTTGGGCAGATATTCCCCTTCTGTGCAGGATGGTGCTGCAGGATCCACTGGAACATTGCAGGAAAATGAAGTTAGACATGCTGATATGAACCTCTGAGGGAAATTAAATTAGGATGGACTGTTGATAGGTTTATGTCAAATAACTCTGCAGTTACTGTAAATAAATCTGATGTCTAGTCACTGATTAAAGTTGTTTGATGTATTTTTACTTCCTTCATCTTATCAAGATTCAATTCCATGTTTTAATCTGTAGAGAGTTACTGACAGATATTCTTTGGACACAAATAAAAAGACAGGGAATTTTCTTAGCTCACCATGGATGAAAATAAAATAAAAAAGCATAAAAAAAAATAAATAAATTGTTAGAACTGTAAATTTACGTTCATGTTTACTATTTTTCATGGCTGCACTTTTAAAAGATGAAATTGTCTAGTGAGTTGTTTCCAAACTCAATTTCTTTTTGTTTTACAGTTGTGTAAACAAAATGACAAATAAAATCTGTATCTAAATCTAAAGGATGTGGAAAAAAATTACTATAGTGTGTAATTTTACCTGTGAAAACAAACTGAACAGGTACAATGCTGAGATATAAATTGGTAGATCTATGACTCTTTGCACCATTATGAGTCACAATGATATCCTCTCTGGGAAAGTCCTCCATCTGCAGCTGCACTGCATATGAACCTTCTGCACTGCTGCTGGTTGGACTGAATGAAACAATACAGGACTGCAAGAAGAAAGAAGAAAAATGGTCTAGATTAAGAGAAAGCACTTTGTTAACTCACTTTTTTACGTAAAGTTCAAATCTGTTAACAGGCAAACATCCAGTCTGTCTGTAACACTGCATTGCTGTTGCCGCTGTGCTTGTACTGTTAGACAATCATTAACTGCTTGATTTACTGTATAAAAATAAAAGAAATATGTAATTAAAACTTCAGATCTTTCCAACTTGAAAAACTGCAATTTTTCTTGTTATATTGTTAGTTTTATAATTATACAATACCAGTTGGAAGAACCTTCAGTGGGTTTTGCTCCACTGGCTGGGAATATCAAATGTTTCCCTACTTATATCTACCTATTTACTGACCTGACCTTTTATCCTCATTACATTAAAAACATTGTGCTTCAAGTTCCAAACATTGAATCAAAGTCATAGATCAGAGACTTTAGTCCTTAACCCAATAGTAGCACCATGTGGTGAGAAGGTGGCTGAAAGGACAATGGCCACTTATACCAGAGTCACTATTTGATTTGTCTGTTCATTTAGAAGTAAAGTCAAATAAGGCAAACAGGAATAGTGAAGCATTTTCAACAGCATCTTGTTTAATCAGGGGGAAATAAACCCACCCACTAATTATGAGTCATTTATATTCTCTTCCAACAGCATTTTCTCTGCCCTTCTTTCCTTTTTTGTTTCAGTTCAATCTCACTGGATATTTTTAAAGCCTAAGGTCATGCAATAGAGTCTCAGCTTGGTGTAAAGATGTAGACCATAAGTTTTATTGTTAAATAATTCTGGATTATTTTTTGTGTAGCAATGAAGAAATCAAAACAAAGAAAATCATGATTGGATCACTGATGGATGGATCAAAAGGAGCACAAAACTCTTCTCATTCAGGACCAGCATGTTACTCACCAGTGCTCTCTTCCTTCCCTGTCCAAGTGTTCTTGTTATAAATAGAAAGTTTTAATTCGGTTATTTTAATGTTCGGGGCATCAAAGACATTGTGAAAAGAAAAGCACTCTTTTTGTTTTGTAAAGGGCAAAAATGTCACTGTTTTCTGTCACAAGAAACTCTTTCAGCAGAAGTGGATGAAACGTTCTGGGCTAACCAATGGGGCGACAGGATGTTATTCAGTCATGGCTCAAATAAATCAGGTGGGGTTGCTATCTGCTTTAACAAGTTTCCAGGGAAGATTTTAACACACAGAGCAGATGTTGCAGGACATTGGTTAATTGTGGTTGTAAAAACTGAGGATAGTTTGTTTTATATTAAAAATGTCTATGGATACAATAAAGAAATGCAAAATAAAAGGTTACTGGTTAAAATAACTGATGCCATAAGGGAACTTAAAATTCTTTATCCCACAAGTAATTTGGTGTTTGGGGGGGACTGGACATGAGTCCAGATGAATGGAATGATAGATGGCCCTCAAGAACAGGTAGATCAAGACTCAATGAGATTGTCTATAATTTCATGCCAAGAAATAATCTCATTGATATCTGGAGAGAGAAAAATCCTGATAGAAAAGAGTTCACATGGTTTAAACCAAATGATATCAAATCTAGAATTGATTACTGGCTTGTTAGTTTTGAAATGTCCAGGCTTGTTTGTCACTGCTGCATAATCCTAACATTAGAGCCCTCCACAAGATCACATAATAACAAGAGCTACTGGAAATTTAATGCTAATTTATTGATTAACAAGGATTATTGTTCAAAAGCAAGGGAAATTATTCATAGTATTGAAAGGGATGAAACATTTGAAGATTATGTAAGTAAATGGGAATATATAAAATTTAAAATTAGGGAATTTTGTAAAGAATGCAAAGATCCGAAGAACATTGAAAATGAGATTTTCAACTTTTACTCTACCCTCTATGACTCCAGTTCTTTTGGGGATGATTATGATTCAATATTTGATCAAATTAAAGATTTCACTACACAAATTGATGAATCCTGGAAAAGTTCATGTGAGTCTGATTAGATGCATCTAGTGACAAAATGTCCCTGAACAAAGGCCCTGGAACAGACGGCCTCACAACCAATTTTTATCAACACTTTTGGGCTGATATAAGGGAAATCCTTTTTAAAGTAATTAAGGAATGTCTGGAGAATGGTGAACTGACAGCAAGTATGAAGCAGGGGCTAATAACCTTAATTCCTAAGTCTGGACAACTTGAGACCAATAACACTACTTAAGGTTGATTATAAAATATTCTCAGGAGCGATCGCTGCTAGACTTAAAAAAGGCCTGTCTGCAGTTATTAGTGAATCACAATCAGGTTTTTTGAAGGGACGGTCCATTCACAATAATATTAGATTGGTATAAGACTTAATAGAGTATAAAGATATGATACAAAACGAGGGTTTCATTCTTTTTTTAGATTTTTATAAAGCATTTGACTCCTTGAAACACACATTTATGCTAAAAACTCTACATCATTTTGGATTTGGCGATAAATTTATTAAAGCAATTGCAATCTTATATAATGGAATAAATAGTTCAGTTACTTATGGGAGAGGCACTTGTCGTAGGTTTGAGATTAAAAGAGGTATACGATAAGGATGTGGATGCTCCCCCTTATTTTTTATTCTGGTTGCAGAAATTCTTTCAACCTTATTCAGAACAGTGATATCCAAGGAATTTCAGTGTTGAATAAACAAATTAAAATCAGTCAATTAGCTGACGATACCACTCTGTTTTTAAAAAATGAAGGACAAACGCCATTAGCTCTAGAATTAATAAATCAGTTCTCTGTTTCAGGTTTAAACTTAAATTTAAATAAATGTGAACTATTGCCACTACACAACCCAACAATGCATTCCCTACATAATATTACCATTAAATCAGAGGTAAAATATTTAGGTATAGTTGTTTCCAAAAATATGAAAATAAATGAGAATTTGAACTTTGTGAAGAAATTGGATAATAGCAAATCGATTTTAAACAGTTGGTCAAGGAGAGACATTGTTATTGTCCAAAATGGAGGGTCTATCTAGAATAATTTACCCAGCCTCTTCTCTGCCAGTATCAAGGGAGTTAATCAAGAGAACTAATGATATTCTTCTGAAATTCATTTGGAGGAATAGATGCCATTACATTAGAAAAGACGATGTCGTTAAATCATTGGTTGAAGGAGGACTAAATGATATTGATTTTGATGTAATGAACGGGGTCCTTAAATTAAAATGGCTAAAATGTTTTCTCAAAAATAAAGATTCTTTTTGGTTTACGATCCCCAATTTTATCTTTGGAAAAATGGGAGGAATTAATTTACAAACATAACTTTACTCCACACAACATTCCTATTTGGAACAACAGATATGTATTGGTCAACAGAAAGTCGGTATTTGAAAGGGAGTGGTATGNGCTTGATGATGCTCCATTTTACGAATTGACTTGATCTGTTAAGAAGTTGTTTTGAATTGAAATCCATGTACATTTCGCCCTGTCATTGTTTTGTACTTTGTAAAATTTGCAAAGAAAAAAATAAATAAATAAGGCCATTTCTGAGAGGTCAGCTCAATACTGAGAACAAGGTCTGAGCAATCAGTTTTGCTTTTAGAGTAACCAGTTTATTCCTGCTCACCTGGTTCAAATCACCCTTAATACATTGACTGATTAAATTAAATAAAAAATAGATTCTCTTTAGGAATAATAACCTGAACAAAGACAAAAATTCCGACCACAGATTTTAAAATTCTCCACCAGCTACAGTGTACATTAAACACAGGGAAGGAAGCAGAGGCCCAGTGACCATCAGACTCATTATCAAAGATGAAACATCCAAACTCCAAGAATCCTTCAGGAATATAATGGCCCCTAGAGATGAAGAGCTCAGTGAATCGCTAAGATAGTGGAAACCTGGAGAGAAGAAGCTTGATGATCCATGGGAGGAAAATGTGCAGGTTTATCATTGGTTAGTTATAATATCCAAGTTTTCATATTAAACCTGATTGTTTACCTTTGCTGACCACATGCTGCTTTCAAAGGTATCATGACCGCTATTTTATACTTACTGAGGAGAGGCTGAGGACTGATGGTGGTGTGCAGGTGTGGCACTCATCAGAATAAGAGGCATATCTGCATTTAACCTCATCTCCATCAGGGTCAAAGGTCAACAGGTTGATATCTCTCTGACAGTTTGAAGGAACTCTGAGGAAGCAGGAGAAAATATAAATGTTTTCTTGGTTTCTGAGCAACAGCTAATCTCTGTCTGGAAGCTCATTTCTATTGATCTAAATAAAATTGTTTTTTGTTTTTTTGCTATTATATTCACAAGTCAAATATTTCTGGTGTTTATACCTGTTAACTTTTAACTCTGACAAATATCAAAGTTTTCTCCAATGATTACCGTATTAAAAAAAATAGCAAAAAAAAAAGAAAAGCTGTAATTTGTTTTTAGTAGATGGGAAAAGACTCCACCTATGTGACACAAAACTGACTATGGCTACGTTCACACTGCAGGCCTTGATGCTCAAATATGATTTTTTTGTGAAATCCGATTTTTTTGTGTTGCCGTTCATATTTCCAAACATATGCGACTTGTATGTGAACTCCTTGTTTTTTTTTTTTTTTGTTTTTTTTTCAAAGATATTTTTATTCGAATTTTCTGTTAGACATACAAAAACAAACACACACACACACACAGATCAAACAAAACAAAGCAAGGTGCATTCTATAAATACTTTTTAAAATGCTTTGGGGGCAGACTATCGGTCTCCGCCAAGTGACGTCAATTGTTTACCTCGGGCGCGGTACACTATGCCTTT